ATTCATAAGATTGCGTAATGCTTTTTAGCCAAAAGAAATCGAAATGAATTTCATAGATAGACCCTATAAAAACAATGTTGACAGAAACAATTGGAGGGTGACAGACCGGAATCCAACAATGGACATTGGCATTACGAAACCAATTCTTCGTCCACTCGTCTATCAGCTCTAGTCGCGTGGTGAAAGTTAATGCTTTTCCGTTGATACTGACTCCGCACCCGTTCGAACCACACCCAAATTCAAAATGCATCAATACCAACAAGCATTGCAAATTCGCAAAATGGGAAGTATTGAAATTTTGACAAATACAAAATTATTGTAAAGTTATAATAATTCTACTACTGAAATGACAATTTCAATTCCAAGATTCCAAGGACAGGAAAGTCCTACTGAAGTTCAGGGAAGTCTTGGCGTAGTTCAGGGAAGGCCTGCCGAACTTCAGGAAAGTCCTGCCAAAGTTCAGGGAAGTCCTGCCGTAGTTCAGGGAAATTCTGCCATTTCAATTCTTGGAAATAAGAGTTGTCCTGATGAAGTTCAAAGAAGTCCTGCCGAAGTTCAGGAACGGCCTGTCGAAGGTCCGGGAAGTCTTGCTGAACTTCAGGGAAGTCCTGCCGAACTTCAGAGAAGTCCTGCTGAAGTTCAGAGAAAACCTGCCGAAGTTCATGCAACTATTGCCGAAGTTCAGGGAAGTCCTGTTGAAGTTCAGAGAAGTTCTGCCATTTCAATTCTTGGAAATCAGGGAAGTCCTGCCAAAGTTCAGAGAAGTCCAGCAGACGTTCAGAGAAAGCCTGCCAAAGCTCAGGGATGTTGCGCCGAAGTTCAGGGATGTTTTGCTGATGTTCAGGGAAGTTCTGCCGAAGTTCAGGGAAGTATTGCTGAAGTTCAGGGAAGTCCTACTGCAGTTCATGGAAGTCCTGCCGAAGTTCAGAGAAATTTTGCTGAAGTTCAGGGAAATTCTGCCGAAGTTCAGGGAAGCTTTGCTGAAATTTAGGGAAGTCCTGTCAATGTTCCTGGAAGGCCTGCTGAACTTCAGGAAAGTCCTGCCAAAGTTCAGGGAAGTCCTACCAATGTTCAGGAAAGTCCTGCCAAAGATCAGGGAAGTCCTGCCAAAGTTCAGGACAGTCCTGCCAAAGTTCAGGGAAGTCCTTCCGTAGTTCAGCGTAGTCCTGCCGAAGTTCAGGGAAGTCCTGCCGTAGTTCAGCGAAGTCCTGCCGAAGTTCAGGGAAGTCCTGCCGAAGTTCAGAGAAATTTTGCTGAAGTTCAGGGAAATTCTGCCGAAGTTCAGGGAAGCTTTGCTGAAATTTAGGGAAGTCCTGCCAATGTTCCTGAAAGGCCTCCTGAACTTCAGGAAAGTTCTGCCAGAGTTCAGGGAAGTCCTACCAATGTTCAGGAAAGTCCTGCCAAAGATCAGGGAAGTCCTGCCAAAGTTCAGGACAGTCCTGCCAAAGTTCAGGGAAGTCCTTTCGTAGTTCAGCGTAGTCCTGCTGAAGTTCAGAGAAGTCCTGCGGTAGTTCAGCGTAGTCCTGCCGAAGTTCAGGGAAGTCCTGCCATTTCAATTGCTGCCAATTCAGGGAAATTCTGCCAAAGTACAGGCAAGATTTTCCGAATTCAGTGAAGTCCTGCCGAAGTTTAGGGAAGTCTTGCCGAAGTTCAGGGAAGTATTGCTGAAGTTCAGGGAAGTTCTGCTGCAGTACATGGAAGTCCTGCCGAAGTTCAATGAAGTTTTGCTGAAGTTCAGGGAAATTCTAATGAAGTTCAGGGAAGGCCTGCCAATGTTCAAGGAAGGCCTGCCGAACTTCAGGAAAGTCCTGCTGAAGTTCAGGGAAGTCCTGTCGTAGTTCAAGGAAGGCCTGCCAAAGTTCAGAGAAGTCCTGCCATTTCAATTGCTGCCAATTCAGGGAAATTCTGCCAAAGTACAGGCAAGTTTTTCCGAACTTCAGTGAAGCCCTGCCGAAGTCCTGCCGAAGCTCAGGGAAGTTCTGCCGAAGTTCAGGGAAGTTATTTCGAAATTTGTGGAATTATCTAATTATCTTTAAAAATACCAAGATATAACAGAATACCTTCATCAAAAAGGCTGAAATTTTTACAAAATATACTCAAATACTTGTGAAACAACATATGAAAATTGAGGAACCTTTTGATATGAAAAATATTTCATTTAGCAATGGCAAAGATGGGTGATTTCTAAAATTGTTCCATTTATCTATAAAAATATCCAGGTATATCAGAAAACTTCCATCAAATAGGCTGAAACATTCACAGAGCCACACTTGAATTGTTTTTATTATTTCACAAATACACGCGTTTCCAACACGACTTAGAAATACTCTCAATTTAGAAATATTTTTAGTATTTATTTTCAAGCACTTTCATAATGGCGATAACGCAAAGATGACATTGCCGAATAGCATCCATTTTCAACTATCGATAATTTTAATTGAAATACCAATATCAATAATAAATATTTCGAATGGAAATACCAATAGATATCTTGAAATATGCATCAATTATTGCGAATGGAAAACGTCACGCGCGTGCTTGATCCTGCTGACGGTGCTGATGGTTTTTCGTGCTAATTCACTCATGGATCGCGCCCCGTCTTGTGGCTTTTTTTTTTCGCTTCTCTGTTTTGTGCGAGGGTTCCAAATCACATTGTTCTTCAACCTGGAGCATGCTTACGCACAGATACATGCAAAAGCCAGCTGATTGCTTAGGAAAACGAAATCTAATGCTTGGAATTGCGTTACAAAAAAAATGGTTTGCATTGAAATAATGCATTTTACAGGTATATTGTCTTCGGAGGAAATGTTCCTAACAATATTTTGAAACAATCTACGGGAGTGAAATATGACCTTTCATAGGAAATACTTGTATAATTGATGAGCAAAGTTAGCGACCACTATGATTGAGGTCCAAAAATTGAACTTAGAAAATGGTTTACAGAAAATTTAAACAATAAATCAATCTAGTAAAAATTGCTTGAGATAGCAATTTTAGTTCTTTAATTTTGCACGGAAGAATTTTTTCGATTGAGCGTTGCAGTATTTTGTAACAAAAATCGATGAAGTGAGTCATTCTGAACCCATCCACTTTCACCTTAAGGGGGGAAATACAAGTAACACGTCAAAAACTCGACGATTTTCGTAATTTTTTTTTGTGAGCAAATGAAACAACGCAAACGTTTGGGTTTTTTTTTGCATTAAATTGCTTAAATCTTCCTCTACATTTGAGATTTTTTTCATTGGTGTGTGACCTCTGTGGCTCCTTGGGGTCACATCGGAAGGAGGTCGCCTCCGGTGGGGATTAGTAATTGGCGGGCGTTGTAGAGACCTGAAAAATGGACAAAACTTACTTTTATCAATTGGACCTTATTCAGAAAAGATTTTTGTTCTATGTGAACCCAAAAAAAAAGGATTTAAAATTTTTGAACTGTTTTTTCCAATTTAGGCAGACCTGAAAATTATTTATTGTTAATTTTTTCATGATATCAGTGGTTCACATAGAGTAAAAATCTATTTCCAGAAGATGCGCCAGTTTTCAAGTCATTTGGATGAGAACTTTTTGAGTTATCTTTCCCGCCAATTTGGAAAACAAAAGTTTCGAAAAAACGCGTTTTTTTTTTTTTTTTTTTTTAAAGTAAAATTTAAAAAATCGATAAAAAAATTTTTTACTTTTAAGTCCTACCTTGTGTAAGAAGATAATCTTTCATAAGTCGCCCAAAGAAAACTCCTGCGAGCAGCAAGCGTGTTTTCCGAAATCTAAAACACTCGGCTTTGGTGCTTGCACAAGATCCATACACCGATGCAAACAATTATGCACGGGCACCGGTACAAGTGCCTTGTTTGCTGCTTTTGGTGTTTTCTATCGAAGCACTGGTACGGAGCGTACAACTCAATGCTCTTCGTGGAGTGTAAAAAAGGCAGTACGCAGAGTAGTGTTGCGTTTAGACATGCCTACACGCTATTTGTGGACTACTCAGTGACTGGGTAGATCGCACTCATTTTTGCATGCTGTATGGAGTTGTCAAAAAATGAGTAAACTGGTTTTACTGCAATGAGTTGGATCTACCCAGATTGTGGGTAAATGGTTCTGATATCAATTTTTCCTAAGTTCAAAATGGCGCACTTTGAACGGGCGATCTTTGCGCAGTGAGTTTAAAATTAGTTTTTAGAAGTGAAACAGTGAAAATGGAGCAGCTATCAGTAGCTAGTTGATTACGTATACAACTCTAACAAATAGTTCGTTGGTATCAATAAATACAAAATTATCAAATTCACAATATTTTTTTTAATATTCTTCCTGGACGAAACAAATTATCATTCATGGGGCATTCATTCGTTTCTACCGATATGGGTAAGGTTTACTCAGTTGACAAATGTCATAATCTGAGTAACCGTTACCCAGTTTCCTCCATAGGCTCGGTTACTCAAATTTGAGTAAAATCATGTTTACTCATTTTTGGGTAACTTACCTTTTGGATGGGCTGAGTAATTTTCGACTCAAAAATGAGTAGCCACAAAATAGCGTGTGGTTCGCATCGATCTTCGTAGGGTGGAAGGTTCGTTGGATCATGGTGGCGAAGAACGTAACGAACGAATTTCCTCTGAAAAGACTAGACCTTCGCTATCCAAACTGTTTCATACGGACACCGTACTACATGATACTACTGCACCAAATTTCAAAATCGATCGCACTAAAGAATATTAAAGCTGTCTTTGGACAGCCCCGGAGCATTCATTGTTTTGGACGTATATGACGGAACTTAGCTCTATACCTTATTCCTCTGAAATCCTTTAGGAATTGCATTGAAATCCTAATGGAATTCCTTGCTAGATTTCACTGAGAAAATCTCACCAAATCTCACCAAACTAACGGCAAATCCGTAAATTTTCTATGCAAATTGTACCAAATTCTTAGAGAATTATTGCAAAATTCAATTGAAAGAAGTCAGTGCCTGTTAAACTTGATTTGTCCTCTGTCATTTTCTCCCCTCTCGCCAGATAAAGCAACCAGTGAGACCAACACGCAGGAAAAGTGGGGCCTCATCATGGAGGTGTGCGACAAAGTGACCAACGGTGCGGTCAACTCGAAGGAATGCCTAAAAGTGATCGTGAAACGGCTCAACCACAGCGATCCGCACGTGGTCATGCAAGCGATAACGGTAAATTAGCAGAAATTGAAATTCCAAGACCCATCTTATAGAGATCACATTCAATCTTCGTTTCAGCTCCTGGACGCTTGCGTCAGCAATTGCGGTAAGCAGTTCCACCTGGAGGTGGCGTCACGTGAGTTCGAAACCGAATTCCGCAAACTGATGCAGAAAAGTCAACCCAAAGTTAATACGGTTCGTTGCCCCGTGCGATGATTTGTTCCGCTGTACACATTCCTAACATCCCTTCCGCTTCTTTTGACAGCGTCTCAAACTGTGCCTCAAAAAGTGGGCCGAATCGGAATTCAAAAGCGATCCGCAGCTGAACTTGATCCCGTCGCTGTACATGAAGCTGCGTACCGAAGGGCACGACTTCAGCGACCCCTCGGTAACGCCCAAGCGCGAAGTTCCGCTGAGCAAGGATCCGAACGTGGTCTCTAGTCAACAGGAGGAGGAAGACATTGCCAAGGCGATCGAACTGTCACTGAAGGAAACCAAGAGCAGCGCTGGTGCCAGTGGTAGCAGCAGCAGCCAGTCACCGAAGATGGCATCCAGCGGGGGTGCTGCCGCCTCGGTATGTGTTGCTATTGAGCGAAGGACGAGGTAAACGAAACTGTAAGGTCTATTTTCTCTCTACAGAGCTCCCTTTATCCTTCGCTGCTGACGACGACGGCGACGTCCACGGCACCGCTTGCAGAACCGAGAAAGGTTAGTAAAACTTTGTCGTCTTGGGTGCTTATTTGAAGCTGACAATATTTGCTGCCTTTGCAGGTTCGTGCCCTTTATGACTTTGAAGCGGCTGAAGATAACGAAATGACGTTCCACGCTGGAGAAATTCTCATGGTGCTGGACGATAGCGACCCAAATTGGTGGAAGGGTGAGAATCATCGAGGGGAGGGACTGTTCCCGTCGAATTTCGTTACGACGGATTTGAATGCCGAACCGGAAGGGGTGAGTAAGAGTAAGAAGAATGTGCAATTTTCCGACGAACAAAAGAAGGATGAGGAAGAGGAGGAGAAAGCGAAGGAGCAGGTAGTCGAGATTAATGAGGAAAATATCGATCGATTGTTGCACCTTTTGCATGAGGCGGATCCCGAGGATCCTTCGGCGGACAGCGAAGAGATGTTGCAGTTGGAGCAAATGGTCAATCAGATGGGACCGTTGATTGATACGGAACTGGAACGGGTTGATCGAAAACATGCACAGCTCACTCAGCTCAGCAGTGACCTAGTGGAAGCCATCAACTTGTACCATACGCTTATGAGAGAACCAGATCGTTCGATGATGATGGGATCGATGATGGGAGGATTTCCGGGACAAGCTCCAATGTCGGGAATGTACAGCATGCCGGGAATGTACGGTCCAAATATGCCAGGAATGTTCCCGGGAATGGGAGGAATGCCTGGTGGAATGTCACCGTATGGAATGGGCCAGCTTCGGCATGATATGGGACAGATGAGCGTCAGTTCGATACCACAGTTTCCTCCTCCACAGCAAGCGATGCCCACAATGAGTCAAAATGGTCCATCTAGCTTACCACCGCATCAGATTCCCACCAGTGCAGCTGCTGTGGCAGGACTACACGCTTTGGGGCAGCAACAAGTGGCTGCAGGACAGCCTCCTATGCATCAACATATGCCGTCTCAACCGAGAACCCAACAGCCGCAACCTACTCAGTCTCAACACATGCCAAATATGACGATCCAGCAGCAGTCAACGCCTAGTGGCGCTCCCCACATGATGAACATGGGTCACATGCAATCTCCACTACCACAGAACTACTCGAATCCGACATCTCCGCCGCCGGTCATTAGTTCAGCTCCTACTTCTCTGCCTCAGCAGCAGCACCAGCAACAACCGCCAGCAATTTCGAATCAACCTATTCCTCGGCCTCCTATTCAGCAACAACAGCCACCTCAACCAGTGGGTGCTCCGGCCGGAAGCTTTCCTCCATACGGAGCAGTACCACCTCCTCAACAACAGCAACATCATCAAGCTCCCCAAAATGGCCCGGTTCCTCCTCCCCCTCAGCAACATCCTCAACCACCGACAGCAACGGCTCCGCCTCCCAACAACATGAACCACCATCCTCATCCACCCCAAATGGCACCTGTTGCACTCTATCAAACCACAGCCCTTCCGCCTTACATGCAAATGCCACCGGGTGGTGCTCCAGGAGGTTTTCCCCATCATCACATGCTGGGCCACATGATGGCTCCGCCCGGATCGCCCCTCTCGATCAACACCGCTTCAAATTCGCCGCAGAACATTCCAATCTATCAGCAGCAACGGTAAACCTTTTCCTATTCTTGGTACCACTTTTTACAGAATTTTTCCTACACCGACACTCACACACTCATGCGCTTCGGGGACAGATGGTCTCTTGTACATACTGGAGAAAGTTGATATTCTTCCATTCCTGAGTTTACCTCCCTTTTTTTTGTTGTTGATTTGGTCTTGGTGTATTTGACTGATCTTGTAATCGTTTTCGCTCACCTATTTTAAATTCATTTTCCCCGTTCGTGATACAACTTTTGAAGAATTCCCGAAGTAATGCATGTATCTAGTAGCAAGAGGAAGGCAAACAATCAAGACTAAGCGAAGAATCGTCCCCCGATTTGTTGAGCCATGATCGTCAACGAAACGAAAACCTATGAAATGTTACTTGCTTCAAGCGTGAAACAGACAAGGGCTAAATGATTTGACTCCCTCACCCTTGAAAGAAGTTACTTGCTCTGATTAATACCTAGAAATGATATAGCGAAGAAACAAATAAAAATAAATCAAGCTGAACATTGCATTAGGTCCTAAGTCACATAGCACATAACCGTTTCTTGTTGTGTTTGTCGTATTAGAATCTGTCAATGTTACTTAGGACCTAATGCAATGTTCAGCTTGAAATATGAACATAAAAATACTAAATTACTATTACCTACTATGAATATTATGTATTTATAACTAAACGCAAAATTAAATGAATAAAAACGATAAAATGATACTGAACTAGAAAAGGGAGATGCACATACACATACACGTGGTGGTCACTAGTTTATAACCATAGAAGCATATATCGCAACCAGCGCGGAGAGTCAAAGTGTGTGGGTCTCCAAAAGTGTAATATAATGAACGATGGTGTACAACAAGTTGAGAGGCCGGCAACGGGAAAATAAAGTTTATTCAATAATAAATTCAAAACATTAATAAATAGTGTAGAAGGACGTGGTAAGGTCGTTTGTCCGAAAATCCGTGGGTTTAAAATTTATATTTGCTGTAAATGGAGTTAACTTAAATTGGCTGAGACCACGACCGTTCACAGCTGCAACTCTGAATAAATAGCTGCTGTACTCCCCCCACCACAGAAGAACCGACATGAATGACCATACACGGCCATTGAGTTCGACTTAAATTTGAGTTCCGTTTACTCAAATTTACAAAACCGCTGGTCACTTAGGCTCTGAACCATTTGGTGGATTATTTTAACTTTTGGTTAAAATTTGACAGATGGAATGTTATCGATGAACCCTGCTATCCGAGCATGGTTATTTCTGACAGACAAGAAGTTAAATTTCGACCACGGTGGGTCGAAAACCGGTCGATCGACAGCACGGGGATTTTCGAACATAGAAAATAACTTTCGAAATGTCACTTTTAACCACGAGTTAAGGGGGTATTCCCAATCTTTTGCCTTTTTTCGGCCTGTTTTTCAATTATTTTTTTTTCAAGGAAAATGAATAGTAATGCGCCTAACTCTTTGGGATTCTTGTTTATTGAACATTAAAGTTTACAAATAAATTTTTTTCGACATAAAAAAAGACATTATTGACGTCACAAAATGGCGGCAAACAGACCCCTGTTCGCCGCAAACGCCTGGACGGGCGAAGACTTTTCTCTGGAACGGCTTCATCTGAAACAGATTTCGTGATGAAATAATAATCTGCATAAGATTCTCTGGAGCTTCTCCCGTTGGCAGCAAAAAATCTAGCAAATTAACAAAATGGCGGCCATATGAAAAAACAGGCGATTTTTAGCCCGCTTTTTTGCAGCTTTAAGGTTGCTTCAAACAATGTTAAATGTTGATATTTTTGGCTGAAAGTGGGAGAAGCTCCAAAGAATTTAATAAGGAACAAAATGCGCAAAGATTCAAGTCAATATCTCTTATAGTTTCTGAGAAAAATCTTCGCCCGATAAAAAAAATGTGGTTTCGAGAAAAACGCGTTTAAAGTTTTGACTTTAGTTAAAACCATTTGGGGGTTCTTACCATTAGTCAGCTATGCCTGGACACCGAATTCGCTGATCGGAAAACGGCTTGGGGGGATGAAAGTATATAGTCTAAAGTACAAAAAAACGTGAAAAAAAAAAATTTGATTTTTTGAAAAAAAAGATCGGGAATACCCCCTTAATTTTAACTCGGCAAATGGTTCACAGCCTTAGGCCGTTCGCAATGCTGTTGTATTTTATAAGGACTGTTTCAATTTGAAACTAGAACAGAAACGCACCTCTCGCAATGCTGAGTTGCAGTTTCATTATTCGAGCACTATTTTGCACCAGATTTGCAACTGCTCGACTATTCTGTTTTATTTCTGAGCGAGTTTGAAACACGAATGGAACTCTGTTTCAAATTTATTTGGATTTATTTAAAGATGTTTCGAAGAGCTTCACAAAAAAAACGGAGAGCTTCATAGAGAATAGTAAAGTTTATGGAACATGATGATTACAAACATCTTTTAGAACTGTGCGTTGCGCTGATCGTGTTGTAGTTTTATTTTTGACAGTTTCAAATTATAGAATTGTCGCGTAGTTTAAAACAATTTTGAAACTCAGCATTGCGAACGGCCTTAGACTATCTGATTTGTTGGTCTGATTCGAGTTGACTGCTCGATAATTTTGTCGGATGCAATGTTCGAATGCGTTCACACTTTTTCGAGATGATGATCAGATTTGACGTTTGATTTGTCGAACGTAACACTAGTTTACAAAACAACATAAAAAGTGTGAACTTTAGTGGTCGACCAACGTTTCTAATACAAAATCCTACGCTGAATTCAATGCCGTGGTCAGAAAAAATTAAAGTAGAGCCATTTTTAAGATATACAAAAAATTTGATTTTTTGTATTTTGGACAAAAGTACGACTACTAAAATGTCAATATCTTTGAAACTACCCGCATAAATCACAACCATACGATTACCACATTAAAAATGGTTTATCTTCCTCTGAAAACCATAATGAGAAAGGTTCAGTCAACTTTAATCAAACCATACCTAGATAAAGTTTTGACCATATTGATTAAGGTTTTCGAAGACCCAACCATATGAACAATGGGTGGTTAAGAACGTTCACCATACGAAATCTCGCTTTTTCTCATACATTTTTAGCAAAACAACTATAGCCTTACCACATCAGAAAAGGTTCTAGTTGGATATGTGAAACTATTTCCATTAACTTTCGAATAAGGTAGTACGGTTTAGAACCAACCATTGTTGTTAACTTCATGATATACTATGAAATGGTATAAATTACTATACTTATTGACGTTATAATAAATACTGTCGTAGCTTATCCGGAATACAGCCATCATGGGTTGTTCTTTAATTTTAATGTGATTTACAAGATTTCTTTTTGTGGACACCTCCCTTGCTCTTGGTAACATGTTTATTGATCTAATATAAAATGAATAGATAAATGAATTTGCCCTGCAAAACAAACTCCATTCCATTTCTGGAAGATAAAAAGGCCCCGGCATAACGTACCTGCTTCGATTTCCTTTTTGGATGATGTGAGCCACCAACATCGAAATCTCCTTCACATGTAAACCGCTGTTAGCCCTGAATATTTGTGTAGAAAATGCATGCGCTTTTAAGAAATATTTTATGCTTTAAGCTAATATTACCAAGGGTTTTAAAAATAAAATAACGAACAAAACAACACAATGAACTCACGAGCACCGTTTCAAAAGCGTTTTCTTCTGTTTGTACAAATTGTAAAAACATAAAGCAACCATAATCGAAACACGTAAGCGTTGTACAAGTTGTTTACAACTTTTATTCGTAATGTTTTGTAACAGTTCAGTATAGTTGATCAACCGTAACAAAATTTAGCTGAAACATACCAGAAACTGTAACAGTTGAAAGTAGTGTTTCTTTAATGTTTATTACATTCCATAAACCATAACAAAACTATTTTGTGAAAAGTTAACATAGCTAGTAAGGTGTCAGTGAAGTTTGAACTGTTCTAGAAATGGTATTTTTCTATGCGGGTAGTGCTACAATTTTAAATCTTTTTTTATGAAAGTGAAGCTAAATAAATTTGCTATCGTTCACTAGAATATTATGTCTTAATTAAAAATTTAATTTTGAAGTCATTTAAAAATTTACAGCATTTTTTTTTTTTTTCCTGCTTATTTTCCATAAAAATCTTGTTTTAATCAACATTTTTAATGGGATAAAAGATTCAAAAATCATTCCATAATTTATTCTTAAAGTCCATTAAAAACTGGAGAAAATGAGCCTTTAATGGATAAAATCGGTTGGAAATTGTCGAAGTTATGAAATTTTTTGTAAAATCTTGGAAATTGAATGTTCCAAGATTGGCCGTTGTCCCGCTCCTAGGTTCATGCACCACTTCCAGTAAGCCTTTCTGCGGACGTGTACGCATACGGTGCATTTCACAAACACTACCAGCTGTCACGCAAAATTAAATGGGATATTTTCAACAATATAATTTACGCTAGTGTTTGTGAGACCGCTCGGCGAGAACCTAACGCAACCAACTCAATTTGACAGCTTTCTTTCTTAAACATTGCTTAACGATGTATACGACAAAACGTGAATTCAAGTGTAAAAATGATCCTCAAAAGTTTTGTTACGCGTGTGGCAACTATATATTTACAAAATCGGTCAATTTCACTGCTCCGTTGCAAACTGCATATAGGCTTTATTTTAAAATTGATCCTGGAGACTTTGACGAACCGTGGATTCCAAAAGTATTATGTAGTTCGTGCAAAACGTGCTTGGCTAGGTGGATGTCAGGCGCAAGGTAAAATGATTTTTTGAATAACTTTCATATAAACAATTTATGTACAGCATGGTAGTGCTTTGTTCTTTCCTGATCGACATTATCTTACTTCATCTATTTTTGATAAGTGTTAATGTCTTACTTACTAACTCACTTATTTGTTATCTGTCAGTCGCTATTTGTCCTTTGACATGCCCACCATATGGCGTCGACCGTTTTGTCATGCAACGGATTGTTATTTCTGCTTGACAAAAGTTAAGCAAAAAGGACGCCAGCCAACGGCTAAAAGTCTCCTTAATAAAGACATAAAAAAAAAAAAAAACAAGGACGTCACAAAACAGTTGAGTATCCACAAGTGGCTTCTATGACAAAACCTGTTCCACATTCAAGTTCGGTCCCGTATCCTGTCTATCCAAAGCGGAAACGAGCGCCCTCTGTTGAATCGACTGTTACAAAAAGTGAGGAGGAATTCAAGGAGGAATGCGAGGAAGACTTCGAGGTGGAATTGGAAAGAAACCCAAAACTGTTTACACAATCCGAATTTAATGATTTGGTGCGAGATCTCGACTTATCGAAGGAGAAATCCGAATTGCTGGCATCACGCTTGAAAGAACACAACATGCTGAGCAAGGAGGTCAAAATTTCTTGTCACAGGAATCGTCACAAGAAATTTGACAAATATTATTCTACAAAGGACAAGGCATGTTTTTGCCATGACGTAAACGGCTTGTTTGAAGAGTTTGGTGAGCCATATGATCCAGCTGAATGGCGTTTATTCATCGATAGCAGCAAGTTGAGTTTCAAAGCCGTTTTACTGCATCAAGGGAATGAGAAACTTTCCCAAATTTATCTGAGGCAAAGATAAAGGAAGGTGTATTTGTTGGCCCACAGATCAAAAAACTGCTCAATGATTCCGCATTCAATACAGTTTTGACACCAGATGAGGAAGAAGCGTGGAAATCGTTCCAGCGTGTTGTCACAACCTTTTTAGGAAATTTCAGAAGCCCAGATTATGAGGAAGCCGTCGATGAATTGCTCAAAAATTATGAGAAAATAGGTATAAATCAAAAATATTGTGTTTGTTACATATAATTAATTTCAAATCCTTTTATTTCACTGAACACAGGTGTGAATATGTCTTTAAAGATACATTTCCTACATTC